GGACGTGAGGTGGGAAGAACTGGACGCGCCGCCGCCCGTCGCGGCCCCCCATGTTCCGAATCCCTTGAGGCGCCCCACAGGGGGCGACATTGGGGATCATGGAACCCCTAGAATGTTTCCGCCAGAGAGGCTCTGAGGGGGATATTTACATAGAGGACAGTTGAAATGTCGGATAACGGCTTAAGACATATAGGCGTATTAAACAGTTGAACTGCAGACAATCGACTGTTCATGCATGCGTAGGGTGTAAAACAAACTTTCAATGCCGCCGTACATATGTATAACAGCTAAATTAATAGATAGGAACGTCCTCGCTGAACCCTTTGCCATCATTTCGTGAACCGGTTGGTGTACTCAAAAACACACGACACTCAAAGGTGTGCTGCGTTACGTTTGACTCGCATTTGACCAGGTTGCATCCAGGCGACCCCAGATTTGCTGACAGAATTCCAAGAAGATGCTTGGCTCGACCCGAAAAAGGTACGTATCTCTAAAGTGCCCGAGGAGAGCTTCAACAGCTGGCGCCACTGACTTGCCGGAGCTTACAGCAGCTGTGCTATCTTATCTCCGCCGTTTGGTCCAGGACACCCCACCTCCCCCGGGGACTGAATGAATGTCGTCACGAACGACCACTTCTTCATGAAACATAATCTGAGCGTTGCGTCCTATTGTCTTTCCTGATCACTTTAATCGTCTTGCTCTCCTGCACGTCAGCCTTAGAACGCACCACGTACATATAGCTCGGCATCTAAACGATTGTCACGGACATTCTTGCATAGGACTCTCCATCACACGTCGGCCGTCTCAAATCCGAGCTCCGTTGTATCACTAAGCATCAATCCGAACTTCCGTGTGAACCCAAAGCCAAAATGGAAGACTCTGGAGACAGCATTCGGTCGCCATCAGCAAGCATGAATTTAATTGAAGAGGATGATGAGCCTGCCTGGACTTATACCTATGATCCGGAAGATGCCGAAGGTATGGACGACGACGATGAGTACGACCCCGACTTTCAAGACGAGCCAGAGGAAGAAGACGGAGACGATGATGATGAGTATCACGGTAGCAATACCTCTTTTTCACGTTGAACCATATAGAAACTTACCATGCGCAGATGCTGAGGACGGCGAGGACAGCAACGTAGAGGTGGAAGTGTTCATGGGTGCTGGCGACGAGGACGACGATGATGCTGAGGAAGACGGCATGGCCGCTAATCCAATATCGAGACTCATGACTCTCATCAGTGAGTCAAAACTCAGGCTCGAGTAAAACCGTGTGCCAACCTCGCTAATCTACGATACAGCCGGTGCTGCGGGCAACGGAACAGGGTTTCTTACACGAGCACAGCTGCTAGGCCTCATTCAAAGTGGCGAAGTGACATTACGCACCACTCACGACGAAGAAGACGATGACGAAGATATTGGCTGGGGAAGAAGACGCAGACGGCCTCGCGCACGGGAGCCGAATCGGTTCCCTAAAGTACCGAGCGAAGAGGGCACGAAGTTGATGCACTCTGGCGTTTTCGGCGCAAACGATTACCGAGTCACGAAGAAGAAGCAACTGGCACGCAGGATATTAGACCGTGAGCTTGGTCTGGGGGATAGGCGCGACCGGAAGCAGAACCAAGATCTCATGGCCCAGGGCATGATACCCTCGACGAACCCCGAAATGATTGTGCACTACGACGACCCAGTGTATTCCGGCCAGTTCTCCGACGACGGTAATTTCTTTTACGCTTGCGGTCACGACTTCAAGGTCCGCATGTACGACACCTCGAATCCGTACAATTGGAAATATTACAAGACGGTCAATTACCCCTGGGGACAGTGGACATTGACCGACGCATCCTTAAGTCCTGACAACCGCTGGCTCGCTTATACATCAATCCAAAGCAACGTTTGTCTGGCACCTACGGATCCCAACGACACGGGAGACCCATACACATTGGATCTGGCAGAGAGGAGTGCGGGAACTCGACACGCAGGATGGCGATCGAGACATTCCTTTGGTATTTGGTCTGTCAGATTTTCGGGAGATGGTCGTGAGCTCGTGGCCGGCACCAACATGCAGTCGATCGTCGTCTATGATATTGAATCGCGCACTGTATTACACAATGTCGTCGGCCACGAAGACGACGTGAACGCTGTGTGCTTTGCAGACAAGTCTTCTCCGCACATTCTCTACTCTGGATCAGACGATGCCACCATCAAAGTCTGGGATCGACGTAGCATGGGAGACGGCCGGCCAGCTGGCGCTTTCGTGGGCCACGTCGAAGGTCTCACGTACATTGACAGTAAAGGCGACGGTCGATACATTCTGAGTAACGGCAAGGACCAGACGATGAAGCTTTGGGACTTGAGAATGGTCATGTCCACGGCCAAGTACGACGAGGTCAACCCCACTAGGTTAACCAGCAACAGCGACTTTGATTACCGGTGGGGAACATATAGGGACGAAGACTGGTTCCCGCACCCCAACGATAACTCGTTGGTGACGTTCAGAGGACATCGTGTAATGCGCACGCTGATTCGATGCCACTTTTCACCGCCATCAAGTACCAATTCGCGTTACGTCTACTCTGGTAGTCAGGATGGCAAGGTTTACATTTGGAACATGGACGCCACGCTCGCTGGTACCATCGACGTGAGGAAGGCCACCAAGAACTCGCGGCCACTGGAGCGCAGATACCGTATATATCACGGCGACGACTTCCCCGGTTGGAACACGTGTGTGCGTGACGTGAGCTGGCATCCCAATGCGCCAGTCCTCGCTGGTAAGTCCTTCATATTATGCGAGTTTCGGGCTGTAGCTAACGTCTTTCAGCGTCTGCATGGAACGGATTCAACATGGCTCATGGGACCTGCACGCTGCATTCGTACAACGAAGCCGAAGATGACGAGGCAGAGCCGCCAATGGGTCGCAATGTCGACGAGAAGCTGCGCCCTGTTGGCGAATCATTCCAAAGCTAGTTACTTCTCGTCAGGAACCGGTTCACTTTTGGGAAAGCGCTGTGGGATGATTATTTTAATTATTTTGTACATCTTCCACACATGTCCCACCCCTCTTTTGGCAATGATACATGATCGATGAAGCCTCTTTGGTCTCGGGGTATCTCTCATCACTCCCGCACAGAACCTCTTCCAAGTGTTGCTGCGCCGCTTCTGCAATCTGCCCGTGCAATGCTTTTGAGACCCATCCCTGCGTTTGAAATCATGTTTGGTTGTCACGTGTCGACGTGAACGTGTTCGAGAAGCTGGCCCGATATATCGGTGCTTCCATTGAAGGTAAATACATGGCGTTTATGCGCCTCCGACAAGGATGTTGTTAAGGGGGATGTGAATCAGCTTGACGATGTAGCCGACAGCACCCATGATGAGGAAACCGACACCGACGGCCTGGCAGAGCTTCAGGAACTCGAGCTTGTCGGCTAAAGGACGCGTTAGTATTCGAATAACGAACGGGCAATGCAGCACGAGGGCACAACGTACGCTTGGTGCACCTTCTCATGAACTGAACACCTTCCTGAGCGAACTCCGAGGGAACCTCGAGGATCTCCTTGACTTGGTCGGCCATTGTGGATAGAAGCGCGCGTGGGATGCGGAGAAGAGAAGGGGGTGGGTAGCTTGATGAAAGTCGCAAAGGAAATCCCAATGGGCCGCAGGGTAACAGGAAACTGCAAAGTCGATGAAGGAAAGGCGCGACGACGTGTAGTTAAGGCGTTGTAGGTCGGGGAGGTGGAAGATTCGAGAGGTTCGAATGGGTAGAAGGGAGATGTGTTAAATTGAGCGCGCTGTCACCAACTGGTCCCCAAAATTTCGGGACAAGCTCCCGCTGTGGAAGGAAGAGCCAGATTGCCATTAAGGAGGCATGGAGGAATTATGCGCCGGCCGCCGAGGCGCACGCCACTGGACAGATTGCTTATCTAAGGTTAGGATGATAGGAGTCCCCTTGGTGCTCCCCTTCAGTGGAGGAAGACCCCCTGGATTCCCCCGCTGGTGGGCACAGAGGGTCTGGTCTGGGCCATTTTGACCAGCCACAGTTCAGCGCATGCAGGCACATGACAGGGAGAGGAGGTAAGGTACGTATCGGCTCAGCGGGCAGTCGCGAGCCCCACACGGGCATCCACTGGCGGAGTCTGTGCCTGCCGCAGCCTGGCGGCCATGGCCCTTGTCGGTTCCCGCCTGGCTCAAGATGCGACCTCAGCTCCTGAAAGAGCTCCCCCCAGTTTTCTTTCCCTTCCCAAACGTTCCTCCACTCACCTTCGTCGACTGCATCTCTGTCTTCGCGTCAACATCAAACCGAGACGTCCATACCTGAGCTGCACGACAATATCACAGCTCTACCCAAGCTATCCTACGCGTCGGTCTTTCGGGCATCGCGATAAACGCCACATACTCAGCGAAGCGACGCGCAGCCGCAGCTTACTCGCGAACCCGCCGGAAACCTTCATTGGGCTTCTTTGACCACTAACTCATCACGGCTAACAGCATCGCCCACATAGTGAGCGGGCAGGAACGCGGTTGGAGCGTCGGCCAAAGGCGGTGGCAGAACGAGCAAACAGTCTCTGGAATCTTGGGATCCTGTTTCCATTCTCGCTCATCCCAACTACATCATCTTGTTCCCTGTACCTAAGGCTTCTGGGCCGAACAAGGAAAGAACTACGGTCACGTCGCCATTGGGGAAGACCGGAGCACAGAGCTTCGTCTTCATTTTTATTTGGCTAAAGGAGAGGATTATATTGGCTTGGCAATTTCCATCCAACCTCTTCCATCCTGTCTACGGAACGAGGAGTGTACGTATCAGATGTTCTCTGTTTTCTATCCTACGTTCGAGTTTGTCTTTTGGCTCCAGACTTTGGCAATGACCCTGTATTGGCAGCGGCTGATGATCATGTTCACGACTGCAGACATATCCTGTATCTCGCAGACTAATAACAACCCTTTTCCAACTACAACCAAGCTCACTGCCCCAACTCACGGCTACCAGATAATAACGTCACCATGGCTGAGGAGGAATTCGAGATCGATATCTACGGCGATGCGCCCCAAGATCACCAAGACGGAAACGCCGAGAACTACGACGGAGCCAACGGCCATGCGGACAACCACCAGGAACAGCATGACCAGCTGGAGCACCACGACGATCAGCAGAAGCACGACCAGCAGGAAGAATATCACGATCAGCAAGAGGCGCCTGCGCCCCAGCAGGGTGTCAAGAGAAAGGGCGACGACCGGCCGATCGATCCAGGCGCAACCACAGCTTTGATGGTTTCGGATCTAAACTGGTGGAACACGGACGACGACATCAGAGGATACGCCAGAGCAGGCCATTGCGAGGACGAGCTGAAGGATATCACTTTCAGTGAACACAAGGTGAACGGAAAGAGCAAGGGGTACGATTCGTGGTGTGAGGTAGATTTGCATGTACTATTGCTGACTCCGCCCGCAGACAAGCCTACATTGAGTTCACATCGCAGCAAGCTGCCACGGCCGCCAAGCACGCTTTTGAGTCGACAGACAGCGCTCAAGGCGTACCGAAGAAATACCAGGTCACTTACTCGAACCCCCACGTCAACCCGTTCCGCACGCTGCCTAAGGATGCACCGAACCGCGCTGGTAAAGACCAGGGCAGCCGACCAAACAACAACAACAACTACAACAACCAGGGTTCCTCGATGGGTGGCGGCGATTTCCGTGGAAACGGCTACCGTGGTCGTGGAGGCTTCAATGGTCCTCGTGGTGGCATGAACCAGGGCGGGTTCAACCGCAACTTCTCGGGCGGTATGGGAGGTGGCTTCAACAATAACAACATGGGAGGCGGCGGCTTCAACAACGGCATGGGCGGCGGAAATTTCGGCGGCGGCGGTTTCCAGCGGGGCGGCGGCTTCGGTGGTGGCATGCGCGGCGGCCCCGGCATGCGTGGTGGACGGGGCGGTATGCACAACCCGATGGGCGGTATGAACATGGGCCCGATGGGAGGCATGCCCAACATGGGTATGCCTAACATGGGCATGATGGGCGGCGGAATGCCTGGTACGACTCCCCTTGCTTTTGAATCTCCCCAGCGAAATTACACCCCCCCAATATCTCGACTTGCCTATGGTTCAACCCAGAAGCGCAAGAACTCTGGTCGGCGAAAGGGCAAAGCTGCCAACACCGGCCGAGACGAGATCCCTTCGAGCACCAAACGGCAGAAGGTGCAACCGAAACATGTATCCGAACAACCAAAGCCTGTAATTGCACCAGAGGTCGGCCGATGGACAAAGGAGCACGGTTTGCAGTTTAACATCGTTGCCCCTCAACCCCCTGCAGCTACTCGGTTCGGCTCGAGGATGCCGCCTCACCACTAGGCTCCTCGCTGAATGTTCTTGACTGATTTCTCTGCTGTTTGCGTTCTCGTTTGTTCTTCGTCAGAGAACACTCAAGCTGACTCGTTCCCAGGATTCCAAGGCATGCCTCAACAATTCAACCCTGCATTCTTCGGCGGTAACCAGGGTGGTGGTAACGACTGGGGCAACCCTCACGGTGCTAAGCGACCTCGACCCGAGTAGGACTACCGGCCAAGGCAGTTTGCGCGATTTTGAGGTAATGGCCGGATCGGCTTATGGCAGCGCGATCCAGTTGTCACCGCGTCGTAGAGCTTTCGGTCACAACCTCCTCACCGCATCACAGTTTGGGTTCATTCCTTCGACGAGGACTCTCTTATCGACGAAATCTCTTCGCGCTTAACAGAGAGAATCAGTTGATCAAGGCCTCTAGTCTTCAGATGAGTGACGGGTATATTGGCTGCGACGTCACGAAGCTCATGGTTGCTACGGATGGATGATAGCAACCACCAAAATGCAAGATGTTTGCTTTGAGTTATTGTATGTGTACTATTAGAATATGGCTGCATGGGAACGATCCCTAGCACCTCGGTTACGGCGTTACAGTTCAGACCTGAAAAGCACAATCTACGACTGCGTTTCGTCATTTCACGCCTCGTTGCTCTTTCCTTTGCAGAAACCGGTAGATTATTGTGTATTGGAGACGTTCAACTTTTCTATCGTGCCGCGTACGAGCAGCTGTGTCTGCTTCCAGCGAGCCACTACCATGTCCCGCTGAGACTGCTGACCTTCATCCAGGCCACGCACTGTCTTAATCTTGGACTCAATCTCCTCGTCGTACGCCGACAACATTTCTCGCAGTAACGCATCGACCTCGGACTGCTCCGCCTCTCCGTCCGCAAACCCATCCACGAACTGCGCCCACCGTCTCGCCGGCAACACGAGCGTCCGCAGCGCCACCTGCGTACGGTAACACACCGTCTCCGCGTCAATGACATAGTTCCCGAGAAACCCCCTCTCCTCCAACCGCCGCCTGTGCGCGGCGTCCAGGCGCGGCAGCAGCACATCGTCGATACAGACCTCATCCCACTCGTTTTCGCCCTGGGCCATGATGAAGCCGTACTCGACGAGGAGGAAATCGTTGCTGTGGCGGCCGTAGCAGATGTGGATCTCCTCGCCGGGGACGTAGGCGCGGTCGGCCTTGATGGTGAAGGAGTGCTTGTCAAAGGCGACGGAGCAGCCGCGGGAGGCGTGGTTGAGGAGGTCGGCGACGGGTTGGAGGACCATGTGGTCGTCGCGGTGGCGTTTTGCGGTTTTGGGGGTGACGTGGTAGAATGTGCGCGAGTTTACGAGGAGCCAGGCGTGGAGGTAGGATTCGTATGTGAGCTTGCCGTCGCTGCCTTCTGGGTACTTGTACTGGTGCTCGTCATCCTGGGGCAGCGGGTTTGGGAGAGGGGTGGAGGAGACGAGGGACCAGTGGGATTCGAACTTCTCGCGCTGGGCTTTGAGGAGGGTGAGGGCTTGGGAGGGGAGGAGGGAGGCGAGGGTTGGCGAGGAGGAGGACCAGGCTAGCGGGCAGGAGGAGAGGTCTTTTGGTGTTGGGAAGACGGCGGACCAGGTTTTGAAGGAGGGGGATGCGTCGAGGGCGATGTCCAGGGCCAGGAGGGCGTGGACGTGTGTTTCTTTTGGGAAGGGGCGGGTTAGGGGTTTTGGGATTGATGCGATTGTTTTTAGGCAGGGGATTGGGACGTCTAGGATTGTGTCGTCTTTCTGGGGTGGTGGTGGTGGTGTTAGTGAGATGAGAGTGTATGATGGTTGTGACATGTGTGGCTTACTTTGAGAGGTGATGTCACGACGATTCCTATGCCTCTTCCTGGGAGGGCACGGGGACCGACGTTGGATACTGTTATTCCTTGGGTCTGGGCCCAGGATAGGAGGTTCTCGATGGCGTCCATTTGGTGTGCTGTTTAGAACCGGGGTTTGTATTTAGATGGTGGAGCTTGAGGCGAAGGCAGTTTGGAGAAGTGATGAAAGCTCATGCAAGTACGACTTGACAACTTGGTAGTCAAATGCGGTCTCTGAGAGAAAAGGTTAAGGTTGATCAAGGAGCAATTACCTCATGAGGTGTAGTCCTTTAGTCTTATGCCGGCAGGGTGAGCGATTCTCTCATTCGTGAACCATCGACAGGTTTGAATGAGACTGAGATATGCAAGTCCTGAAGGCCCGGATTTTGAGTATCTCTGCTTCTGAGAGAATTCGGAGTTGCGCTCAAACCTAGATACCTCAGAATAAGACGATACAAGGTTGGCAGCAGAGTCTTGTTGTTGTGAAAGCGTCAAGTTTGATGGGACGGACGAAGCTTAGATGAATTTCACCTTAAAGCTGAAGGGACGAATCAAATGCGCCGGGGTGCGATTCCAACGATCTGGAACAGCAGGCCCTGTCCCACCACCAAAATGCTCACCTAAACCACTGCCGAACAAACGTACAGCAGCGGGCAGCAATTGCCAATTGGAAAGGTCGGCGCTAGTATCCACCGACTCCCCGATCCGACCTACGGGACCCCTAGCTGTCCAAATTCTCGGGGGACCGTCGCCGAGGTGAGGTAATGGAGCTGCCCCGAGCTTCCAAAAAGTGTTCCGGTCATCGAACCACTTTCAACTCCGAACTGACCAAATAGCTCACGACAGCTCTCAACAGCTCCCTCGTCCACAATCTTCAACCTCCCGATGACATCCAACGGCATGCCACCAATCCAAAGACCATAAACCAAACAAACCAGCAAAATGAAAGCCCTCGCAACCCTCCCCGCGGCCCAAACCCGCCGCGCCCTCCCCGCCATCTGCGCCGCCTGCACATCAACAACGCCCTCCTCCTCCTCTTCCACCCACTCGCGCCGCCCCTTCTCCGTCCTAAACCGCCCACCGCCAAACTACCCAGGCCACGTCCCCCTCACCGGAATCGAACGTGCCGCCCTCGGCCTCGGCGCAGGCATCTGGTCCCTTTTAAGCCCCTACCGAGCCGACCTCATCGCCGCCGTAGGCGAGACCACCGCGACACCCTACTTCATCTACCGCCTCCGCGACGCTATGCTCGCCGACTCAACAGGCCGCCGCATCCTCCGCGACCGACCCCGCATCACATCCACCTCGCTCAACCTGGCCCGCCTGCGCGCCATGCCGGACAACACCGTCGGGCGCGTCTTTGTCACCTGGCTGGACGCCGAGGGCGTGAGCCCGGATACGCGGTCCGCGGTGCGGTACATCGACGACCCGGAGTGCGCGTACGTGATGCAGCGGTACCGCGAGTGTCACGACTTCTTCCACGCTCTGACGGGTTTGCCGATTGTGAGGGAGGGCGAGGTGGCGCTCAAGGCGTTCGAGTTTGCGAATACGCTGATCCCGATGACGGGGTTCGCGGTGCTGAGTTACGCGACGATGAAGGCGGGCGAGAGGAAGCGGTTTAGGGAGATTTATGGTCCGTGGGCGGTGAAGAATGGGATGAAGGCGAAGGAGGTGATTAACGTTTACTGGGAGGAGCAGCTGGAGAGGGATGTTGATGAGTTGAGGGCCGAGTTGGGGATTGAGAGGCCGCCTAATATGAGGGAGATTCGGAAGAAAGAGAGAGAGGAGAGGAGGAGGAGCGCGCAAGAGGGTTTGAATGGGGTTTGAGAAGGGGGTGTGTATTGTGTGTATTGTGTATAGACACGGGGTTTGTACAGATATTGTATAGTTTTTGTTTGATTTTTTTTGGTAACCTTAGAGTCCTGGTGGAAATCCCACTCGGACAGAAGCCAATCTGCTACATTTTGCAGTAATGCATCATAAACGCCCTTCAACGCCGACATGGTATCCCCTCCAGCAGACGTAGGTTCATAGTTTCCGCGCCAGAGGACTCAAAATCGAGGCAGCGAATATCTTCGAGAGACCCCCTACACACTGCGAACAGAACACTCATGCTTAGAATGGACCACCCTTTACCCTGATGACTCTGCAGACTGCACCTACAAATCCAACAAGTCATCATCGTCATCATCCCACCCCTTACGCCTGCTCACCACGATCTTCTCCTCCTCCTTCGTCCCCGCCACGGCCTCGAGCAACTCCTTGAGCTGCGTCTCGGTGACTTTACTGCGCAGCTGCCCGCTCTGCGCGAGCATAATGAGCCTGTTCTCCACGTCCTGCGCGCGCTGCTCCTTGACGAGGCGGATGCGGCCCAGGCGGTCCGCCGCTTCCGGGTGGAGGATCTGGTTGAGGATTTGCTGGCGGGCTTCTTGTTCTTGTTGTCTGCGGTGGACGCCGGGTTAGCTGATGTCTTTGTCTTTCTTTCTTCGTGGTGGGCGGGGGAAAGAGGGGAGAGAGTGTGTGGTCGGGATGGTATGGGAGTCGGTCGCGATTGAGGGGATCGATGTGCCTTGAGAAGGGAGATGAGGGGCAAGGACAACATACTGGCGCTGTTCTTGCTGCTGCTGCTTGTTCGAGCCGCCGCCGCCGCCGGAGCTGCCTGCCGCGCCGCCTTGCGCCTTGAGCTGTTCGAGGCGGGCCTTGCGGATCTGTAGTCGCTTGCGTCAGTCCCCGATGTTCAAGCGCTCTGTCGATAGAAAAGGTATGATTTGCGTACTTGTTCCAGTTCGGAGTCGTCCATGATTGCGGGTATCTAGTCTGCCTATGTTTGCGCGGAGTGGTTTGGTGGAGGTTAGGTTGTTTGGGTCAGAGAAACGCGGGGCTCTTTCTGATCTGCCTGACGTCCAAGTTTTTGGCGGGGTGGGAGCTTGGGGTCTTTTTTTGGGCGCCTTACAAATTTCATGACGACGTGCAGTACTAAAGATTAACCATGAAGGCCAGCACAAGAGATCAACTTATTTATCATTTTAACATAAGTATTGATGCCAATCTTCAATATATGTGATAAAATATTTAAAATGTCTAGATTCTGTGCTTGAATGTAGTCATACAATGCTAAAACCGCCCATCAAGTAAAATACACACAGACGTCCAGTTGTACAGCCGTCGACCGCTTCATTATCTCCTCGAGGTCAGCTCTAATGGCATGTACGACCGGTTCTTCTCCACTTGCGCCTTATGCTTTGCCTTGACCATGCCCACAACCATCTCGTTCGCTGGCAGCTTCACGCCCAGCCTACGGCCCCTCTCAATAAAGAAGCCGTTCAAATAGTCAATATCCGTCAACATGCCCCGCTGGATCTGCAACGCCATCTTGCTCGG